AGCAATTACAAGCAAAAGCAACCTTGCATCCCACCTGTTCAAGGCACCACTTTGGGAAGTTGTGTGCTTCCACGCTCCCTGTCTTTGCACGCTAATAAGCTCATATTCCTTCCCTTTCATACTCCTCAGCTGCTTGGGCCTGGATGCTAGAAAAATCCTTATCCCTTCTGGTAACCAAAGCAGCCACCCAGGGAGCAAATCCAGACACAGGCAGGGAGAAGGAGCTATAAATAAACACAGCACAAGTAATTCTCCTCTATTGTGCTTATTAAAAAATGAATCTGATTCTTAGACACAATACAATCTACACATTCAAATGAGCATGATCCTTCCAAATTTGAGACTAACAGCAGACGACAATCACTATTATCTGGTGAACGCTCACCATATGCCAGGCTATTCCAGCACTCAACATGCACACCTCATTCATTCTCACGACAGTCCTAGAAGTTGGGCACTATTGCTATTCCTCATTTGTAGATGAGGAAACTGAGGCACAGAGAAGTTCAATAATTGATAACTCTCGGCAGCAGACCTAGGGCTTAAACCCAGGCAGTCTGATCCCAGAGACTGTACTCTTACAATGACCCTACCACCACGCCTGTCAATATTACATTTTTTTTCCAATTATGCTGTCAGTTCTGAAAATTCCTTTTTAGCAACTTCCCTCAGGGCTAATTTATCGGTCACAAAAGAATACTATCTCAATAATTTATAATAATTCCATGTTATTTTTTAAAAATGATGACCTACTTCATCCCATTATTTACCATTCCAGTAACTACACAAAATATAAAGTAAATAAATGGGAAAATAAAATAAAATAAAACAGACCCTGGCACCAAGGTACTGACTGTTTCAAACTGAAAAAATTCACTCTGGGCTTCTTTGAAGCAAAAGTCGAAAAAGTTCAAAGATATGTTAGTTCTTTAAACCCTGATAAAAAATGCACATGGGTTTTCTAATCACATGAAAATAAAGAATGTAATAAATATTATTCAGCCATAAAAATAAGGAAACACTGCCATTTGCAACAACATGGATGAACCTGGTGGACCTTATGCTAAGTGAAATCAGCCAGAGAAAGGCAAAAATAAAAGATTTCATAGAAACACACAATAGAATGGTGGTTGCCAGGAGCTGGGAGGAAGGAGAAATGGGGTGATGAAGGTCAAAGGATACAGATTTTCAGTTATAAGAAAAATAAGCTCTGATGATCTAGTGTACAACATGGTGACAACTATAGTTAACAATATGGCACTGTATACTTGAAATTTGCTGAGAGTAGATCTTAAGCATTCTCACAACAACAATTAAGAATTAACTATGTGCAGTGATGGGCCGGTCGAGTGGCTCAGTTGGTTAAGAGCTCACTCAAGAGTTTGAACTCTGAGCAACAGCAGTTCAATTCCCAGCCTGAGCTGAGCAGCTGCTGAGCTGCCAACTGGTGCAGGATGGCTCAGCTTAAAAAAAAAAAAANACACACACACACACACACACACACACAACTATGTGCAGTGATGGATGTGTTAATTGTCCTGATCTTGGACAGTAGAAACAGCATGTGCAAAGGCCCTGTGGTCAGGGGGAACGTAGATGGAACAGCTAGGCACTGCTAGAGTTAAGTCTGGATTGAGCTAAAGCTGGATGACTTTGTAGGGAATGAAACATGCAGGGTTGTCTGCTGGTAGCTCCCTTGGAAGTTACTGAAGTTTTTTAAGTCATTTAACAGTTTCAGAGTTCTGAGTATATTTACAGCTTTCTTAAGAACTTAGGAGGTACAGTCAATAGTTGAGAATGCTTCACTTTGACTCTACTTTTCCTGGTTTACCTACAGGTTTATTTTGATCCATCCCCTGAAAACTTCGCCAGCTTTTCTTTTAATTATCTAATGTCATAACGTGAATGGGATTACACTAAGCAATCAAGTCTCAAAGAAGTCTCGCTCCAGGGTTAGTCAAAATTTTCCATTTCTATTATTGTAGATCATACTTGCTTATCATCCAGAAATCCCAAATATGTGTTTCATGAAGAACTAGCCTAAAATTTTTCTCAGAGCTTCAAACTCTAAAATCTGCACTGAAAATGCAGTTGAAAATAGTGAACAGTTTTGGTCTCTGGAATTAGAGTAGGACATAGAGATAAAAAAAATAAAAATAAATAAAAATCAAACCAAAGACCATATTTGGAGACTATTTCCAAAGACCAGCCTAATAATGAATCAAACCAGATGAAGAAAAGGAGATCGTACTGACCTTCTGTTCTAGCACAATCAGTCCAGTACTCACACGCCATTTATCCAGCAGCTGAGATACAGAATAAAGAATGACCGAGGCACTTCCTACAAGAGCTGATAAAGAGAACTTTCTTCCACTAAATAAGTTACTATCTGAGGAAGCAAAGGCAAAAGACAAGAGCAGAAGGACATGGCACATCAAACCCCGTCAAACTCCGGGGACCCTGAAGGGCAGGGCCAGGGACCCCAGACCACATCAATAGGCTCAGAGAGTCTCAGAAGGATCACACAAAGATTACAGAATGTGGAGGCAAATACCCTGGGGATGACTAAAGGAGCAACTCAGGAAAAGGCATGAAGTTGTGAGACTCCAGGTAGCGACTATGAAAGGTATCTTGTTTTATTTTTGTCCACTTACAAACTCAGAGAAAACCCAAAAAGAAGGATATGGAAAATTCAAAAGGAACTGGACAGATTAAATGATTTATTAGGAAACATCTTAAATTTGGAACAATTAGAACTTGAGAGATTATGATAGCTGACTGTGTCGGGACCCTGGCCTCCTACTGAAATCTCCAGCGCAAGCCTTTGGCATCATTATTGTTAGGCAATGTCCCATGAGCCTCTGCCTGAGGGCTCTCTCCCAGCCCACCCCAGGCAGGCCAGAGGGCCTGGGAGTTCACCCTATAATGTAGCCCTCGCCAATGACAAGTATTCCCACTTACGACTGGAAAAATTTTTAAAAATAAAGCACTACAACCTTTCATTTAGACAACTCTGAAACATCTACATTACATCCCAGATAATAATCTATGAGTCTGATTACTAATGTTCCCTGTACTGGCTGCTTTCTCTTCTCTGCCTCATTTCTCCACTCCCCCACCAGTGTTTTCTGGGACTACCTCCCAGATAAACTATTTCACTTGAATCCTTGTCTGCTGGAGAATTCCAAAGTAAGAAAGTAATGGAATATAATTTAGGACTGAGTTCTCTTAACTCCAGGTTCAGTTGAAGACATCAAAAACTAAGGGAAAAAAATGACTCGTGAACCTAAGGTCATAGTGAAACCAATCATACAAGGGGCATTTCTAACAACTAGGGAACAGGGGAGGTAGAAATAAAATTTTAAAGCAATTTTAAAAAATGAAAAGCTTGATACAAAGATGAATGGTAATAAGATATACTGTATATGTGATTAAATAATTGTAATATGCCTAAATGAAATAATAGATTCATTATATTAGGAGGTTCACTTTTCCTACCTGCTTAGTTAATTTAAAAATTAAAGGAAAATGTGACTCCATCTTTGGGCTAATAAAGCAAAATACTTGTCATGTTTTAGATTTCTTCCTACATACTCTATAGATAATTTCCCCCACCCTCACCCAATGCATGCACACACACACATACCACACACACACACACACACACACACACACACACACACACACACACACAGAGTTATCATATTAGCAATTTTAAAATTCTAAAATTGGGACTAAATCTGCTTATTCCAAGTATGATCAACTGAAATTTGAGTTTGTATTTTATTTGTTCCATAACTTTGTTTAGGAATATATGATTACTTAACACTTTTGTAATTAAGCTTTCATTATTTCTGAAAAAGAATACAAAGTGAAACAAAAGAAAATCATTCATCTAGCAGAAGTAATCGGTGGGTCAACCTTGTTGTTAAGAGGCTAAGTGTATAGATAAACTTGCAGTTTTCAAGGTACAATATTAGCCTGGCCACCAACTTCTGTATCTTCCCTCTAAGTTTCAAGAACAAAGATGTAAGAAATTTCTAGTAAAATAAATGAAAATTTTCCCTCCCAAACACTATTCTGAACATTTTTTTTAGTGACAGGAGTTTTTTAAATGAGGCTGTTATTTACAGACAATTTCCACCTTCCCTTGAGAAGATCATTCTGAATTCTATCTCCAGGGCTCAACTGCACAACAATAGACTAGATTTAAAAAGAAGATGAGTGTCTTGATTGCTTGACCTGATGAATGATACTTCAATCTATTTCCTTGAAATCTGCTATGTCTACTGACTACTATATCTATTTGTTAATTTCAACAAATTCAGATGAATGATATGTGATCAGCAAAAGAAGACTCTTACCTCAAAATAATTAATGGATTGCCAAGGCATCCTCAACGCATGCTAAAGAAGCTACAAGTATCTTGATTCATCAAAGTATAAACACTCATTTACCCAAAAAGCATCCAACCTTGTAAACATGTCTAAGTCTATGTGTCATCATTTATTCACTCGCACAATAAAATTTATTAAGCACCTATTATTTGCCAGATGCTGGAAACCGTATTAGAACATAAAAACCCTTCCTCTGCCCTTGAATGTTAATAGGCAGAAAGAAAGAAAAAGAATCTTATAAACCATAGGTGCAATAAAATGTTCCAAATGTCATGGTAGGCAGCAAATAAACTAGCTTATTCACAGCTTTAGTCAACAACGATTGCACACCTACTATGTGCCAAGGATCATTTCAATTTATACGTAATAAAAGTAGGTCCCCATGAGGAGCAGAGTAACTTTAGAGGAACGATAATTTGTAGTTGTTTTATACACACATAATGATGTATAATTCTATACACATGTATTACCTAAGTAATTGGGAAAAACTTACTAAATACGCTTCTTTCCCAAAATCATCTTTCCTTTGCAAGCCAAGAAAAGAAATGAAAGCCCAAACCAGTTAAGTGTGATGTTTGAGAGCCAGAAAAGAACTGTCCTTACCAGGAATACAGGATTGTTCCAACAACAGATGTGAGTTTACTGTTTTCTTGTTTTTGCTTTGCCAAGCCAAAGTCAGCTACAATTCACAAAACAAAATAGTGTTATTATATTTCCCCAGAATTAGCATTATTCCTTAAGTTTTACAATAACTATTACAGTTCACAACAGAAAGCTTTCCTTTTTTCTTTACCTTCTGTCAGAATTCCCTACCTACCAATCTTCCATACCACTGCCAGCCTTATTGAATGGCATACATATAATATGACGTTGTGCTATATATTTTGACATAATAAGGTTTATCATTAAAGAAACTAAACTAAGTCTTGCTGACTGAAACATAGGACAAAGTACTTATTGAACTTGTGATTTTACTTTCTAAACTATCTTTCATAATGTCAAATTAATGGAATGAACTTAATATTGTGGCATATGGCAATCATGACCTCATTTGGCAAAAAAAATTTTTTAAAAATAAAATAAGGTAAGCTTGAATAACCAGCATGAAAATCTAAAAACCTGAACTAAATGTCATCTATTGGTACTAAATTACAGTAACTATTGGGTTGTCGGAAAAGTCATGATGCCTTTTTGCAATGAAAAACAGAAAAATATGTCATGACTTTTCTGACAACCCAATATAATGTTCAAAATTATCTCAAAACATTTACATGAACAAAGGATTCAGATTTTTAATTTAGAACACCAAATATTTATATTTATTTATTATTAGCACTAGCTGTATGTTTCAAATCACCTACGAATTCTCCTCTTTTTTGAACCACTCAACAACTTAGGCCAAGGTGGTAGAAACGTAATCATCATATCCTCATTGTACAGATTTACCAATATTTCAAGAGACTTAATTACCACGATTACATAAAAACTCAGTGCTGAACCCGACCAGCCCTGGAGAAAGAGAGGCCCAGTTCCAGCCAAAAGCCAGAACTACTTGCCAGCCATGTGAGTGAGCCATCTTGGAAGATGGAGTCAGGGTTCAGATCACGCAGCCCTACTTAACAGCTTACTAAAGCCTTGTGAGAGACCCTGAGCCAGAACCACCCAGCTATACTGCTCCTGAGTTCCTGACCATCGGAAATGGTGATAACATAAATGTTTGTTGTTTTCAGCTGCTAAGTTTCACAGTGATTTGTGCCACGGCAGTGGATAATTAATACGACCACTAACCACCCCAGTCTGAGCTGCCACGAAGTCCCACCTACACTACTGAACTATACTTTCTAAACAGACTCCCTGCTTCCATCACTCCCTCCGAAACATAATTCCCCATTCCAGAGCCAAAAGGACCTTTGAAAAACCTAGAGCAGGTATTCACACTTAATGAGATTAAAATTCTACAAAGACTTCTGATAAATATGAAGAACCAAGTCTAAACTCCTAATAGGCACACAAGACCATACATTACCTGGGTTTTCAGAAAGGTCTTTCTTGACCATACTATCAAAAATGTGTTCCCTTCTTGAACACCCTTCTATTACACTTACTTAATTCTTAACATCTTTCATTATCTGAAATTGTTTATTTATTTAATATTCATTTATATATTTGGGATCTGTCATTCCTAACTAGTATGCGAGACCCAGGAGAGCAAGGACTTTGTGTCACTTATCACTGTAAATTGACAGATAGCTTTTGATACATATATAGATATCTATTCATACGGATGTGTCTATCTACTACCTATCTATCTATCTATCTATCTATCTATCTATCTATCTATCTCAACCCAGTAGTACTCTTGACAAATGGGAAATATTAGAGGGATAAATTATATGAAGTGTTGTTAAGAACCATTCACAAGCTAAATGGCTTGCTATAACCATTCTATTCCTGTATTCTGTAATGGAGAAAATTACTGAAAATAGTATTAATAGAGTATTTTAATATTTTTAGGGGCTCGCTATAATAAACCTTGACCAATTTGCAATCTAAAATAATACTTTAACTTTTAGTTCTAACTCTACATAGAAATTATCTTGATTTTATAAAAATGGCATTGATTTTGAAAGGCAGAAACTAAGGAGTGATACTCTCAATGATTCTACTCACTCCAGTTAATTTAGATAAATGGCAGAAACTCAGGCCGATGTCTGCAAAAACACAGATGGTTGAGAAGTATTCTTACAGAGAGTAAAAGCTAATATTGTTCAGCCATTTGGAAGATTTTGGTAGTAGCAGTAATGTTTCTATTACTCTTTCCTCATTTGTGATCATATTTGGAGTAGAGGAAACCGTTTTATTTCAGGCACTGTGGTCATAAAAGCATTCATGTGCTATAATAGAAATTAAAAAACAGAAACAGAAAACATTTTTGTTTTTCCCTGTGCATTACATTTAGCACATTATGCAAAAAAGGAATTAGGATTTAAAAACAAATAACTCTCCTTTGATGGATCAAATGATACAAATGTTAAAGATACAAATAGAACAAATGTTAAAGGCTGTAACATGTTTCTGCTGCAACCTGCAGCTGTCAGCCTTCAGATGGAAAAGGTGTGTGGTTTCTAGTTGAGTTCTCAGTTCTTAACCTGTCATTTACTACTGGGGTGACACTGGACACATTTCTAAGGAACTCTGTTTTCTCAAAAAGTGGCCTATAAAACTTACATTCCCTTTTACAAGGATTGCTCCAACAATTTGATAATAGATGAGAAGGGTTTTGAAATACTGGACAGATGTGTGGTATTTCCATCCCTCCCCACAGGGAGCTTTCACCCATCATATATGTGTTAGTAGCTCCCCAACTCACAGCCAAGCCAGAAAGCCCCAGCCTCTATTTGGAGCTTCATCTGCAGCACCTGCCCCTTCACACCCCAGACCAGACCCATTAGTCCCAGTCCTCTGGGATGTCCCAAACAGCAGGTGGCAACTCGCTGTCCCCATTTCCTGGGCTTAAAACCTCTGTTCCTTCCTTCTTGCTCCTATATTCAGCCACTCACCAGCTCTCGTAGCGGAACCTTTGTTTTGATTCTGTGGCCATAGTTTAAATGTGCCATGAGTCCACGTCCTCCTTTCTCCTGCCATAATCTCAGTGCCCCTCATTAGAAAGCTTTTCCTTCTAATCCATTCTACAGGGTATTTAACAATGGAACAATCTATCAACCTTTGTCTTCAACACAACAGGCCCCTATATAAGTACCAGATGGTCTCCTGATGGCTACTCTTTATGAAGATTCCAACTGTCCGATCTGGCCTTCAAGACTGTCCACTTATTCATTGATTCATTCATTTGCGCAACAAAGAATATATACTAAGCATCTACTATAGCCTAGGTACTGGCTAGGTACTAAAGATGGCAACCAAGTCCACAGGAACCATCCACAATGACACAGCCGGTAGGGACCAGTGGTAGAGATACATTAAACAAAGAATCACACGTATAAATGTAAAGTTGCAGTTGCGGTAAGATCATTAAAGAACAGGTAAATATATGATGTTATGCAAGGATATAAGGAACACAGCTGATTGTGAAAAGCTTCTGAGACAAAATGGTGATGGAGTAAATATGCAAAGGAGAACAGGAGTTAACTAGGTGAGAAAAGAAAGTGGAGAAGTGGCTTCCAAGCTGAGGAAGCCACATATGCAAAGGTCCTGTGATCAAGTAAGTATGGTCCACTGAGGAACTGAGAAAAGGCCAGGCTGGCTGGAGGGTAGAAGATAGAGGGTGTGGCCAGGTGATGCAGGGCTCCACAGGCCATGTGCAGATGACTCACCTCTGTCATTACTGGCCAACTTAAAATGTCCATTTCAACAAAGCTCAGCACTTGATAACAAGCACCTTGGTGCCCTCAAATATGCCTTTTTCTTTACCGGAAGTGGCTTCCCTAAGGAGTACTATTAAGAAACTTAGTTAAGTGACAAAATCTAGAGGAAGACGTGATTCATTCCTGGCACTGCCAACCCATTAGTAGGGTAATTTAAGCAACTGTCCTTACCTCTCTAAGCCTTTTTATTATCTGTAAATATGGAAATATGCCTCAGATATTGGATGAGATGATGAATATATGACTTTTACCCTGTAGCACACACTCAAGAGATATAGCTACGGGTGGTTGCTTCTTTCCTTCAAAGCACAGCTAAAAATTTTGAAATCTTAAGGATGTCGCCTCTAAATAAAAACAAGGAATGAGTGACAATTTCAGGAAATGATCAGACGAAACCCCTGCAACGCTAGTCGACGACACAGGAGTCTACTTAAGCCCAGCTGTGTAAGGGGCCAGACGGAAGACGTCCACCATGCAACCCTATCTTGTCTGCAGTTCTGCTCTTTCCTCTGCCTCAGTAATTGGAGTGACCAACCTCCAACTTCCATAGCAACAGGATCAGCGGTGCAGGGCTCCATGGGGGAGGAGAAGGCGTTTCCCAGGGAGATGCTCAGAGTTTTCCCTCAACAAACCCGTCTCCCTGGCACCTCCCCCTCTGACGGCCACTCAGATTTCTAACCCCTGCCACCAAAATGTCTCCCTGACCTTCCTCCAAACAAAGTTCAGCTGTTATTAACAATGTTATTTCTAATTCAACAAGTTGAATGCTAGTCAATTAGAAAATGAACACTTTAAAACAGGGGAACGAGGAAGGGATTTGATGCTGGCGTCCCAGGGAGCCCTTCCCCCATGCCACTTGCCATTCCTCCAGAGCTCCCTTCCCCGGTGCAGGCCCTACCCAGGATGAGGCAGAGTGGAGGTGTTTCTTTTTCTCAGCAGCATCACTATTTCATTGATTTTTATTGATGGAATTAGTTGTTATGACTGGGATCTTCAGGGTAAAAAAATGCAACACCTGATACAAGCGTGCTTTCTGAATTCTAGGTAACTCCATGTCTACGGCGCACAAACTTCATTTCACTCTAGGGCGACCGTCAGCACACTGGATTCTTGAGGAAACGAATGCCCTTATGAAATGTGGGCTCTTTAAAATCACTTTGTAATGTGGGGTTTGTTTCTGTTTACTATTACTTGGAATAATGAAACTTTACACACATTGTTGTAAGTAGGAGTGCTAAGGATCAGATTCTTATAAAAACAAGTCAGGCATATTCTCTCTCTCTCTCTCTCTCTC